TATAGTGAGGCACTGCACTGTACGACACACAGAGCAAAATGGGGTTGCAAAACAAATGAACCAAACCCTTATGGGCGTGCTAGGTGCATATCTATATTTGCTGGTTTATCAAAGCAATTCTGGGCTGAAGCAGTTAACACTGCTAGCTATCTGGTTAATAGATCTTCATCAACTACAATTGACTTAAAGACTTCTCAAGAGGTATGGTCCGGTAAACCCTCTGATTGCTCTAATATAAGAATATTTGGATGCCCTAAATACGCTCATGTGAATGATGGTAAGCTGTAGCCGATGGCGGTAAAATGCATATTTCTAGGGTATGCAACAGGAGTCAAAGGTTATCGACTGTAGTGTACAGAAGGTAAAAATCCTAGCAAATTTCTTACTAGCAGATATGTAACTTTGATGAATCTGCTATGCTTGATCAGAGTATAGGTTGTGAAAGTATTGCAGACACAAAAGATTGTGACGCTGACCAGAGGGTGCAGTTTGATACTCATGACAGAGTTGTGTTAGAGGAAGAGCAGGATAATACTATTTATCAATCTTATCAACCAGATCAGTCAAAACCTCAAGGGAAACCGGTCGAGAAGGAAGCTGATGACGCTGGTACTGGGGTTGAACATTCCATAGCAGCAAGAAAAGGAAAGAAAAATATTCAAAAACCAGCTATGTTTGCAGGATGTGTCAATACATGTGATGAATTTTGTGGCTTATGCATTAGGGGTTAGTGATGATCTTGGCTCTAGTGAGCCAAAGACATATAAAGAAGCTGTGGCGAGTAATGATGCAGAAAATTAGATGATAGCAATGAATGAAAAGATGTAGTCTATTGAAAAGAACAAGACTTGGGATCTTGTTGCACTACCAAAAGGGATGAAGCCAGTGGGATGCAAGTGGGTCTTTAAAAGAAAAGAGGGAATTTCTGGTGTTGAACTTACTAGGTTCAAGGCGAGACTGGTGGCAAAAGGGTTCTCACAGAATGAAGGAATCGATTAACATGAAGTCTTTTCTCTTGTGGTGAAACACAAAACCATCCGGGTTCTTTTGGCAATAGTGGGTGCTTTTGATCTAGAGCTGGAGCAGCTTGATGTAAAAACAACATTCCTTCATAGTAATATAGAAGAACGGATATACATGTCTCAACCGGAGGGGTTCGACAGTTCTAAAAGGGACCATGTATACTTGTTAAAGAAATCTTTATATGGCGTGAAGCAGTCTCCAAGGTAGTGGTACATGAGATTTAATTCTTTCATGATGTATATGTTGTTGTATATAGGTGATATGTTAATTGCAACTAAAAATATGGCTGTAATTAATTACTTGAAAGCTCTACTAAATGGTTAGTTAGAGATGAAGGATTTGAGTGCAGCAAAGAAAATGCTGGGTGTGGAGATCTGGCGTGATAGAGAAGCAAAACGACTATGGGTTTCTCAAGAAAACTATATCGAGAGAGTTTTGCAGGTATTCTATGTTGATTAGTCCAAACCGGTAAGTACCCATTTGGTGGCACACTTTAAACTTGATCGAAGCACTATACCGGCTACAAATGAAGAGGTTATCTACATAAAGACGATTCCATATTCAAGTGTAGTTGGAAGTCTTCTGTATGCGATGGTATGTATGAGACCGGATCTCCCTTATGCTGTTAGGATGGTGAGTACGTTTATGGCTAATCCGGGTAAAACTCACTGGAAGCTGTAAAGTGAATCTTGCGATATCTGAAAGGAGCGTGTGATATTTGTCTGGTATATGATGATAAAGGCTATTGTGATGGTCTGGTTGGCTATGCAAACTATGATTACAGGGGTGACTTGGTGAAACAAAGATCACTGATTTGCTTTATCTTCACTCTATTTGGATGTGCAGTCAGTTGGAAGTCTACTTTACAACCTATGGTTGCACTCTCGACGACTGAGGCGGAATACATGTCAATAACTAAAGGTATTAAGGAGGGTATCTGATTACATGGTCTGGTGCAGAGTTTGGGTTTGAATGTAGAGAAACTATTGTTCTTCTGTGATAGTCAGAGTGCTTTGAGTTTGGCTAAAAATTCGGTGTATCATGAGAGAACCAAGCATATTGATATAAGGTTGAATTTTGTCCGTGATGTTTTGGAGGAACACAGGTTTTTTTTCATAAAATAGCTACATAGCACAATCCTGCTAATATGTTGACAAAGGCGCTAACGACGGAGAAGTTCGAACACTGCTTGAACTTAGTGAATATTCATATGAGGTAAACTCCCTTCGGGGTATTTGGTAGAAAGGAGACGACTGAGAGATACTGACGAACCTTTGGCGGTTGGAGAAACTCCAAGTCAAGATGGAGCATATTGAAACGTGACTTGGATTTAGCCGTCTACCCGACCCGAAACAAAAACAAAAAGGTTGTTTCAATTGACAGGGTTCCTTTTGAGCTTATCCTAATTAATAACAAATAGACTTAGGGTTTAGGGTGTTTTGAGGTGCTTATAAATAGATAGCTATGGCTCATAGCCGTAGAACAATGATTGTAACTCTCTGAATCAGTATAATAAAATATCTCCAGTTCCTGCCCGTGGACCTAGGTTGACGCACCGTCACCGTACTACGTAAAACCTTTGTATTCTCTATTTGTTTTCTTTCTCGTTTTCTCATAACATCATATATAAACATTCAAAATTGCACGAGTTATTATTGATGTGTAAACAATAGTTATTACGCAACTTTCTATCATAAGCTAAATGACGACCTGCATGACTTAAAGGAGCTCAGATCTATTTTCAGTCGGAAGCTTACATCTATCTGACATACTTTTAGGGGGTGTTTGGCAAACAACTTTTTTAAGAGCTTTTAACTTATTTAATAGCTTTGAGTTGTTTGACCAGCCAAAAAGCCAATTTTGGTGTTTGGTATATTAGCTTTTTGAAATAGCTTATTGGCCCAAAAAAAATTAATTTATGAAAAGCTATATAACCCAGCGTTTTGAAATAGTTTTTTTAATTTAATTTTCTTTATTTCTTATTTTTCCTTAAAATGTTACTATTTATTTTACATACATATAGATATATTTTCTATTGCAGTAATTATAAATTATTTTAATATATTATTTATTAAATTATAATTTTATTTTTATAAAATTAAATTAATTAATTTTATATATAATTAATTTTATTCGTAAACTATATATATTTATTAAAATAAAAATAAAAATAAAAACATTAATTTATTAATTTATTTTTATTTAAAAGTAAATAAAATAGAGTAAATTTATTAAAAAAATTATAAATATAATAAATTAATCAATAATTAATATAATAAATATATTCTTTTAAAAATTATTATTTTACATCATTCTTATATAAAATATTCATAGTTCTTAATAAAAATATATATTATTTTTCTCACATCTAAAATTAATAAAAAAATAATATTTTATAACATATTCGTAATTTCAAATAACTAATAACAAAAATTTTAAATTTTTTATAACTAAAAAAATACAATTAAAAAATTTTAAAAGTTAAAATATAAATGTCTTCAATTTTCATTTAACATATAAACATATTATTTTACCTAACACTTTAATACAAACAGCTAATTCAATCTGCTAGTCAAACCAGCTAATTGAATCAGCTAACGCTAACAGCTAAAAGCTATCAGCTGATACAAACATACCCTTAATTCAAAAACCAAATATGTTAATATCCCACGTTAAAAAAATGTGGGATCTCCCCTGGGCTTATAAGGGTGAAGGGCTACACTACCTATAGGGATGGGAATAGGCCGGGCCGTCTGTCAGGGGCCTACGGCCTGACCTACATAAGACCTAGCCTAGCCTGATCTATTTACTAAAAAATTCAGGTCGAAAAAATTTTTAAAGCTTTTTTATTTAAATAAAACAGACTTAGGTTTAAAAAAAAGTCTTTTTAATTAACATGCCAGCCTAGACTTAGATCAGATATTTTTAAAATAGGTCACACCTATTTAGCCGAAGCTTAACCTGGTCTGGCCTATTTACATCCCTAACCACCTATCACAAGTTAGAAGCCTGGCTCCTTCTTTAACAAAATACACTTTGGCACGCTTGATGTCTCGTTTCGATCTTCCATGCAATACATGTATGTCACCAGCGAAAATATTGCATTGATCCAACTCTTTTTTTTTTACAAAATTTCCCGTGGACAAAATATTTTGCCCTTCGAGTACAGGAATGCATAACAAAATCGTGGTTTGCAAAGTTTCTTAAGGCTTTCAGGTGTAGGGAAAAATCAATTTGTTGGTAGTGACATGCAGCAACGAAGTCTTTTCTTCATCTTCTTCAACATCAATCAAATTCTAATACACATTTTACTTTCGATTAAAATATTACATCCAACATGACTTTCCGCTAAAACAAATATTAACGCTGTGTTTGTTTGGAGAATTTTTTATTAGTATTTTTTATTAGATTTGTTAATATTTCATTACTCCCTCCGTCCCGCAATAAGGGTGGCGTTTGTTTTTTGCACGTACATTTTTTAATATTAGTATTATATTGGATTACAGTAAAAAAGACAAAAATACTCCTATTAGTACGGTGTAATATAAAAGTAATAGCATTTGTATAATATATTGTAAGTTGAAAGGGTATTTATTATGTGAAGTAGGTAGTACAATTACTAAATTAGAAAATGGTAACCTTGTTTTGGGACGGACGAAAATAGAAAATAGTAACCTTTCAATGGGAAGAAAGAGTATTTTTTTTTAAAATATAAGTATTTTTCTTTTAAATATCAAATCAAATACATATTTTTTAATTTATAATTAAAGAAATTACATAAACACTTATTTATATTCATAAATCAACCCCCCCCCCCCCCCCAACAAGCACACTCGAAGTTATAAGCTATTTTCTGTTCAAACCCTCATAATTTTCTCAATTTTGAGTTACACTTTCATGTCCATCATTTGTTACTGGTATTTTCGTTCTCTCTTAATTTTATTTCAATGAGACAAACAATTAATCTACAGACAGGGTATCTAAATACTTCAATACTTCATTCCACTGCAATAACAACAACAACAACAATAATTCACCAAAATTTGTTACACTAAGTAATACTGATGAACACTTTTATTTAAACATAATTGAATGGGTTCACAAACTATTTTTATGAGCCTTTCGAAGTCATCTCATACCTCCAGATTATCCTCCTTAGAATTTGTTGCACTTAAGATTGTCTAAAGATCGATTCATGGCTCCTTATTCTGGGATTTCTCATAACATTGTCGGTAATTTAGCACACATTTGGCGATCCCAAGGACACTTGATCCTTGTGCATCAGTTCCCAAAGTTATGGTTCTAGTAATGTACTCATATCACTTTTAACAAACGAATCAAACCGCGAAAGCTTCCATGAACTCGGCATCATCATCCATAGCCATCAAAGTCTCCGGCGCTAACCAAGCTTCCACGTCTATCCCACCAGGCTCAGGCGCGGGGAAAACAGTCATCTTCCCATCTAATGGTTGTGCCATCCCACTTCTCACAGCAACCGGCTTCCCCCATCCGAAGTCACAGCCATACACATTGAACCGCGGCGAACCTCCCACCGCAAAAGTTGTAATTGCAGGATATTCAACCACTACTGGATTTTTCACCCAATGTTGAGCATATTTGATTGCTGCATCCCGGTTATGCTGAGCCACCAAATCCTTCATCTTTCGCGCTGCGTATCCTAATCCATTCTCCAATATCTCCGCCTCTTGACAGAACATTTGCGCTATGATAAGTCCATTCCCAAAATACCCATCTGGGAGAGGAATTCTATCTCTTGCACCCACAGCAAACATGCAGGGGATTTCTCTTTGGTCTTCCTGGTTGCATCCTTTCTTGATTTTTTCGCGACGCCGGGCGCGTGTGACACCCCGCCATAAATGAGCAGACACTGCTTGCAGAGATGAGATGCTGTCCATCCCTGCTTCTTGGTTGGCCTTGGCTTTGAGCTCAGACACAGCTTGTTTGCTGAAATGGAAAAACCTTCGGAGCATTGATGGACGAACAAAATTAGCTGATTCATTCTGCTGTAATGGAGGAATACGCAATGATTTGATTCCATCAGGAAACCAACGTTCGAAAACGGGGAGTTTTGATATTGTTTCAGCACCACGGGAGATCTCCGACCAAGAATTGAAGAAATGCCAGAGAGCAATTCCATCCAGGACAGCATGATTGGCCGTGCAGCCAATGAAGAGACCGTCGGCGAGAAAGGAGACTTGCACTCCGAGCAAGGGCTTCGAAACCCCGTCGGAGTTAACAACGCCATTGAGTGCGAAAAGGGAGTTGATCGTGTCCGGTATGTATTTAGGCTCCAACAGGTCGGAAATGGACATGTTGCCGGCGACAGCGTGGGTGAACTCAGCTCCGGCGTTGCTGCAGTTGATATGGAACGATATCGTGCCGTCGCTGTTGGCGGTGGTGCCGAGGCGTCCGGCGAGCGGAGGGAAGTAGTCGAGCGTGCGGGAGAGCGTGGTTTTGAGGTGATCGACTAGAAGGGTTTGGGATTCGAGGGTTTGATAGCCATTGGTTTTGAAGAAAATTCCTCTCTGGCTTGGATCCGCTAGAAGCAGCTGCAAATCCCATTGATTCAGTTCGAAAATAGAATTTGGAGTCGAATTTTTTTCCATTCGAACAACGCATGAAGAACATATTTCGATTCCGGCCATTTTTCGGAAGGAATGATTGTGTGGAAGGGATTGAGTTAAGGGATGCAGATAAAATATATATGTACCTCAAATGTATTTTGATAGGACCATCTCCAATTGATTGGTCTGAATTTTACTCTCAATTTATCTCCAAATCTTAAATACAATATTTATTTCAATACCAAACCATCCCAGAGCCTGGATAAGATCAATGAAAACGTGTATTCATTTGGGTGGTTGTTTTTATTTTGAAGTATTCAGATTTTTCTTTTTAAAAAAATATATATTAAATTAAATATTTTAATATTTTATTTTTGTATTATATTAAAAAATTATTTTACATTTCAAATGTCACATGGATTCTTATTTGCATTATATAAAACAATTATTTAAATTTAAGATTTTACTATTCAATTTTTGTGTTTTGATGTCTGTTGTAATAAATATTTTAAATAAAAATAATTATTTAATATGATATAGATAATTTTTTCGGATGATACTTTGGATGAAAATTTTGTACGGTAATATATTAAATAAAAATTAAACACATAATTTGATATCTCGAAAGTAAAAGAATAAGTTATTGTTCGATTTCTCCGTCGGACCTGATTTGCAGGGTATTAGGTTCGACGGGGGTTTATCCAGTATGCACTTTTGGGTAGGGGCTACGGATTCCCACGTAATCCAAAAAAAAAATAAGTTATTGTAAATGAATAGTAAAAATAAGGAATATACTACAAAATAAAAAAAAAAAAAATCTTTTAGTAATCTTTTTGGAGAGTTTGATACACAATAAAATAGTATAAAAAATAAAATCACTATAGAATGAGAATTTTTAATATTTTTTGTTTGGTAAAATGATCCAGTTATCTGGATGGATAGATAAAAAATAAATGATTAGTCGGATAAGAAAAAATTTTAAAAATTATTAGAAAAATATTTTGGTGACTGTTTCGCTTCAATAATAAATTACAAATGGTTTTTTGTAAAATTAAATTTTAATATAACTTTTTAAAAAACATAAAAATTTATATATCTGAATAAGGGCAATTCCATGCCAATAGATAAATGAAGTGGCTTTTGCAAAAATTGATGGAGGGGCTATAGCCCCACCCCAAACTCTATTTTTTAAGTTGAGTATTTGTAATATTTGGTGATATTTTGTGTATTTTTTTGTTACTTTTAGGGATGTATTGTGTAATTTTCTTTTAGAAGATTATATAATTTTATATTTTTAAAAGTGATATTTAATTTTATTTTTTAAAAATAATATGTAATTTTATTTTTTAAAAAGTGATATATAATTTATTTTTTATATATCTAATTTTTAAATAAAATATAAACTATATATGTTTGGGCTATAATGTAAAAATAAATTAAAATTGGGATGTAATTTATAAATATGAAAAGTTATATAATATAATATAATAAATAAATAAATATATATGGAATATACTTTTTAGAGTAAAAATTAAAATTTATGGTTAGAATAAAATTATTGTAGATATTTGTATTTTCACCGTAGCTACTGCAAAAATGGAGTAATGAATTGGAGATGACCTAATAAATTAAATAATACTTCCGTCACATAAGAAAAGTAGAATGGGTTTTTTGCTTTTTTATCTTTGAATATTAATTATTATATTAATACGTAGTTTAAATTAAGAAAAAATTACAAAAATATCTCTATTAGTCTCTTATAATACAAATACAATAATATTTGTGAAGTAAATTATACAAACATAAAGATATTTTTAATGTTAAATATAATGATGCAAAACATAAATGATATCCTTCTTATATGACGGAGATAATAATATTTTGTAAGATAGAAATAATAAAAATTAAAATATTATAAAAATTATATAACACAAAAATTAAAAATTAAATAAATATATTGCATCAATATTCATTTCTTTCAAGAGGGAAATGAAAATTGAAATGTAGAAAGTATTTATTTATTAAATTTCATTTCTCTAGCTCAAATAAACAAGAGAAACAAAAACATTTATATTTGTCTGTTCTCAATTCTCTGTACCAAATACACCCTTAGTGTGTTGATAATTGAATTTAGGATTTTGGAAATCGACTTTTAATATATTTTAAAATTTAAATATTAGGCTTAACTTCCACCAAAAAAAAATCTCTACTTTTCTAAACACAAGTGCGGGATTACAAATTTCACGCTATTTGTTATGTTATTTAGGAGGGTATAGGCGAAATGGTCTTTATTTTGCAAATTTGCGTGGAATTTTATGATGGATTTAATCCTCGAAATTTTATAATTTCTACTTTCAATTAAACAATGTTTTCATAGTAAACAAAATCGAAATGAAACTCCAAGTAAACAGAGCCATAAAATGAAAATTGATATAAAAAAAAGAAAAAAAAAACTTGATATTCGATTACCATGTTCAATAATCAAAAGTTATATACAATCCATCTATATTTTTGGTAAAAACAATGTTAAATATGTTCTAATCTAACAGCTTATTCATTAATTATTGTTACTTTCAAATATTTTGAGCCTCCAAAGATAATAGCACCTCACATCGGAGGAGTGGATAGGCTGCCCCAAACATCCTTAGTCCAATCCAAGGTCGTGTACGAATTAAGACAAAATAAAAATTAAAAAATAGAGAAGTAATATGGATAAAGTTTGAGGGAATTGCGGATAATTGAGGAGTGGAGAAGTGGATAGTTTGAGACAAATCATGGATGATATAAAAGAAGAGGAAGAGACCATAATTCTTACATTCAGCGCTACATTCCATTTCTATATATATATATATATATATTTGGTTGGGATTATTATTCAACATTATATTGATTGAATATCAGTAATTGGATTACAATTTTTAATCCAATGACTTGGGTTTAATAATAATTTTTCAATTCTCTTTATTTATAATTATCTCAATCTTCCATTTTAATTCCTTCTTTGATGCAGGAATTCATTAAAAAAAGAATTCATTAAAAAAAGAATTCTAAATCTTCTAATATGCGGTTTCCTTCTTCGATGCAACATTTATTAGAAAAAGAATTCAGAATCTTCCAACATAATTAAAAGAAACTCGAACATGTTACTATTTGTGGGAAACATTTTATAATATTTTAGCATTGAATATATGTAGACTAGACTCCTTACATGCAAAATTTACAAAATCAAAGTAAATATTTATAACCTTATGAAATTTATTGGATTGAATCTACTGGATTCAATTTATTGGATTAAATTATGACATTTTTAGTCAAATTTGGAAAATAATTTATATAATTGTGGTAATATAATTATGTTCATAGTTTTTCAAGATTTAGATATTAACAAAATTATTAGAATCTCGTCTGATGTGTTAGCAATCATATTTAAATTAGAAAATCGAAAATACTATTAAATAAAATAAATTAGCATCTCGTTTAATTGACTTCAGCATTTACCTATGCATAAAGAAGCATCCTATATGTTATACTACACAAGTTGTTATGAGCTTAAAGAACTCAACATCTTACTATTTATGGGAAAACATTTAATATTAAAACATTTATAATATTGATTGACATTTTCGGCATCGAATAAATGCATACTCCACAAATTTACAGAACCAAATAACTTCTAAAACTTAAAAAGACGATCTTATCCCTCTTCAATCTAAGTCATTCGATTTTCATCTACTATAATGAATGATCCAGAATTTATCAGCATGGTGCTAATGAGTGCACCCATCAACACCGAATTCGTTTTGTTTTTTTTTTTTTTTTTTTTTTAACTTCTTTGTTTTATTTTTAGATTTTCTTGTTCCTATTTTTTCTTTACTGAATTGCATTGTTTTTCCTACTTTTTGTTCCTAACTTTAGGCTCTTTATAGTTAAATTTCACATTTTTTGTGTCAATTTTTCATCTGTAGAATCCAATTTCGTTCGATCGTCATTGTAATCGGTCCCATCCGGATTTGTTCATGCGTCAATTTAATCGTGAGATCAAACCTGGATACCCTCTTAAGTAGGCCGAAGAACTCGATTTATATTGATTTCACCAAACCTAAATTTATTGGGCTGTTATGGACGAATTTCAATGATAATAATTATATGATGTAAATATGAGAATGTATCAAAAAGTTTCCACTCTTTGCAGATGATCAAGAGTCTTGAATATAAAACAAGATCGTCATTGTTGAATTAAAAGTATAATCATATTAAATTCATAGGGACTCGTTACAATCCTGATTATTGGTGGTTGTTGGATTAAATATATTATTATATTTAGTTCATAGGATATATTACAATCCTGATTGTTGGTGGTTTCTGGTTTAAAAGTATAACCATATTTAAATCATAGGGACTCATTATAATCATGATTGTTAGTGATTGTTGGATTAAAAAAATAATCATATTTAATTCATAGGGACTCGATATAATCCTAATTGTTGGTGATTGTTGGATTAAAAGTATAATATGTTGGATTAAAAATTATGGGTTAAATGTAATTATTTGGGCTATAAGTCAGATTAAGCCTATATTAAGTGATCTATAAATTTATTGGGTTTAAATGTATTTAGTAAGTGCGGGCCTCCAATGTGCAGAAACCCGGAAAATTATTAATTGGGTGATGAGGTCAATTAATAATAAGAGATATAAATAGGGTTGTGATCTCAGGTCTAGACGCGACATCCATTACGTTCCATATCTCATCGGAGTAACGGCAGAAACCCTAGCGGTTTTCTCAGGAGGGGTTGCGCCATAGGCTTGAAGAACACAAAACCCTCAATTGTTAGCAGATCCGAATTCGACTATATTAATGGAATAATGTTAGATTTATTTTGCTTTATTTTTATCTAAATTATGACACACGGTAGATCATGGGCTTAGGATTAAATTCCTGACAAGTTCCAACAATTGGTATCAGAGCCTTTCCGTGTTGAATTATTGGGATACTTCGTTGGATTAATTAATATTTAATTGGATCGATTTTAATCCCACATGAGAACGACACTTATTCTTTTAATTTTAATTGATTCAATTGGATGCACCAATTTTTTGGAATTAGGCATGAATATGTGCTTGTTTAATTAACTGTAAGTTTTGGGTTTCGGGAGATAAGATTGTCGCGTGGAGTCATGATTCT